ATGGCCGTGATACCCTGCTTTTTCCAAAATTTTGCGGATAGTGTCAGCGCAGAAGGTCTTTTTGAAATTTCCTTAACATTTTGGGCGATTTCGGAAACTGAAAGTCGTAACGACTTTCACCGAATGTTTATATTTTTGGCCATTCTGGACGAGCGGGGAGACAAAAATGCAGGTATCTTTTTATTTTTTATCACTCTTTGGATGAAAGAGTGTGTCCTTTCAACAATCCCTCCAATTTCACAGTATTCTTTGCCTTACACTTACACTTAATAACAAGCAAAATAGATTGGAAATACTTTAAAACTACTGCTTTTACGAAAAAAGTTAAATTATAATTTTCCGACATTGTCGCACTTGGTTATAACGGGGGGAATCCCCTTTTGACTATTTGTACGCAGACTTTTTCTGTGCTGCCAAATGAGTATCTTTTGTAAATTCAACAATAAATCAATGTTGCCAAATTTTAAATTGTTTTAAGTGCTATTATGCAATAGACAAGCAGTAAAGCACACTCTGAAATTTTTTATGCAACAGTTATTTTTTAAACAAAGAAAATAAGCCTTTAGGGTGTACGCAGACTTTTTCTGCCGAGTGTATGTCATTCCCCGAGGTAACTTGTTTTTCTAGTAATTTGTTGTTAAAGTTAAAATTTTGACCAACCGAAATTCCCGAGTAAATGCTAATATTATCACATGGAGCACTTGAATATCGCATATAATAATGCCTAATAACGTTTAAAACGATTTTATTTAATTAATTTTTTCATAATATTAATATTTTCCATAATTTTTACACATAAAAAATTCATTCTCACTTTTGTTTACTTTAGTACGGGGTAATGGGTTCACCAATACACTCACACGATTTCGGACAGCACTAACACATATGCATGTTTGTTTTGGTTATTTTTCTCTTCGGAGTACAAACTAATTGAAGAAAAATGCAGTTGAACGGATTATTCGATTTTCTTATTTTCGAGCAGAACTCCATTTTTTATCGTTTTCTCCGCAGTAGATGGAAGTGAAAAATATACATGCTATGGTAATAATATATTTTGGATTAGTTAGTTACATCTTTTTTATTTAAGGGCACTCTATTTCGTACGAAAAGATCAACTAATGAAGCAGTTTGACTGGAAAGGATGCTTCTCGTCTAGCCGTAGTAGTAGATTTAAAAATATTCGACAAAGCTTTGCGTTGTGGTTCAACTGCATTTAGACATAAATAACATTCTGATTCGAATATTCATTTTTTTATTGTACTTAGGCATCTTTATCTTCAAAGGAGCTGCGATAATTACGGAAACGTTCGTGGGGCTTAGGAGCTGCGTCACCAACGCATGACACTAATATAGACTTTTGTATATGTGGTTTTGCTTACAATATTTTGCAGATTTTTGAAAATGAATTTATTGCTATATTATTAATTCTTTGTATGATATATAAACCATGTACCTGATCTATGTAAAAATATTGAAATAAAGACTGAATCTTAAAACATTCTTAATGTATATGTATGGAAATTTTTTGTCAAAGCTTATTTCCATCGGCATCAATGCTGTCACTCATCTGTGTTCGGCCTTTACGGCACTGCTGCTGTTTTTTTACGTCCGTTTTGCTTTCTTTTGGTTTCTATGCTGTCGCTCAGCTGTGTACGGTTTTTCGGACAAGAATGACAAAAATGAAGGAGGAAAAGAAAAGAGAATTATGTACACATATACAAATGTAAACAACACGTTTGCAACTTTGGCCTTAAGAAAGTGATAGGAAAATCGTTCTACGAGCTGACGGCATATGTCGCCATGCATTCCTGGCATATGTTAGCTCAAATGATCGGAAGCCTTCTTGCAGGGTTATATGTGTCCGCTACAATCAGCAAAACCCGTGTTGCCACACGACAAAAGTAACCATAGATATAAAGGATTTTTTTGGTATTATCTTTTTGCAACACTGGTTTAAACAACTGACGCACGTTTCGTGTTTTGTATCACTGTCGAATTCCTTCAATTTGGTCAATAATTTNTCAAAGCTTTACGGCACTGCTGCTGTTTTTTTTTATGTCCGTTTTGCTTTCTTTTGGTTTCTATGCTGCCGCTGAGCTGTGTACGGTTTGTCGGACAAGAATGACAAAAATGAAGGAGGAAAAGAAAAGAGAATTATGTACACATATACAAATGTAAACAACACGTTTGCAACTTTGGCCTTAAGAAAGTGATAGGAAAATCGCTCTACGAGCTGACGGCATATGTCGTCATGCATTCCTGACATATGTTGGCTCAAATGATCGGAAGCCTTCTTGCAGGGGGTGTTCACCTTCCTTCAAATTTTTCGTATCAAAACCAAAATCAGCCGACTGAACAGCAAAAAATCGTTTGAACTGCGCGCAAAACGACATATGCATAAATATATTAAAGTAACCATACATATAAAAGATTTTTTTGTTATTATCTTTTTGCAACACTGGTGTAAACAACTCACGCACGTTTCGTGTTTTGTATCACTATCGAATACCTTCAATTTGGTCTATAATTTAACCATGATTTTTCTTACAAACTAACAACCCTTGCAAATCATTAAATTATTATCAAAATCCATGCTCTGTTAAGAAAGTTTATCGCGCGCTTCGAAGCTCATTTTTCGCTTAATGGGTACGTCAATAAGCAGAATTGTCGATTTTGGAGTGAAGATCAGCCAGAAACACTACACGAGCTACCAATGCATCCAGAAAAACTCACACACAAGTTAATGGTCTGGTGGCATCATTGTACCGTACTTCTTCAAAGTTGATGCGAATCGTAACGTAACTGTAAATAGTGAGCGCTACCTGAGATGATATATATAATATATAATTTGCACTTTGTAACCGCTGAAGCGATTTTCGGTCGAGCGTCTTGATGTTTTCTCAACAAATGAAGGGTCCTACAATTTATACTAAGCCGCATCCAAACGGCTGATGGCTTTCTGATGGGAAGCTTTATTTCATGTCAGAAATACACTCAGAGGGGTTGACATTCCCTGCCGAGGGGCGACCGCAATTAGAAAATTGAACTTAATTTTTTATTTAAATTAATTTTCTCTAAATTTTGGATGTTGGTCGCAAGGGGATTTGAACCCGAGTCTTCCGACTGGCAGTTCGCAATGCTAACCACTCGGCTCCCGCGGCCGCAACCTGAGATGATATCAAACTTTTTTTGGCCCATAATGCAAGAGCTTGACTTGACTTGCATGACTTGTGGTTTCTAGAAGACGGCGCCACATGCCACCCGGCACGCGTAGCAATGGACTTATTGCAAGGCGAGTGCGGTAAATAGTTTATTTCACTATCGGGTCCGGTCAATTGGCCGCCTATGTCGTGCGCCTTTAGTATATTTACGGTGAGGCTATCTTAAATCTAATGCCTATGCAGACAATCCCGCTTCAAAAAACGCATTGGAGGACAACATTGAAGCATTTATTCGAGAGATACCGGCCGAGGTGTTGGAAAGAGTATACTAAAATTAGATTAATCGGATGGACCATTTTAGGCGTACGATGTCGACTTGCTTTAAATGTATGTAGTTGGTGCTTTACATTTCGGGAAGGTGTACGATTTGCTAATTTTTGTTATTCTCGTCACTGCAGCGACAAGGCATGATTTTTACGGGACTTTTTATACCCGGCTGTACTATGTGAATAAAGTACAATGGGTTAATTCTGCCAACGGTTCTAAAATAATCGAATAAACTCTTACCTAAAAAATCCCTATGGAATGGTGAGATAAATCGATTTAATAATGTCTATCCCTCCGTCTCTAAATACGATGGCTCAAATAAGAACTGAGATGTTTTACTCATATAAATATCAGCCGAATATCTCGCTTAGGTCAGCAAATATCATTCATTTAAGTGCGCCAACGGAGAAACACCTCAAAACTGGGCCCTTACCAAATCCTTTTTATCCGGGTTGACGTCGAAACCAACCCTAGTCCGACGGATTATTTCTGCTGTGTGTGCCATAATAGACTCCACCACTGCTCCACCTCGGTTAGGTGCAACCAGTGCAATGGTTGGAGTCATCTTAAGATCTGCTCAGGCCTTTAGACCCATACGGAGTGGACCACAAGTTATGTGGACCCATGCTGTCAATGACCAAGTGAGGCTCCCAGCCTCCACGGCAGTGCCTTCAACACCTTTACACTTTGGGTAACCAACAGACCTTTGCGGTCTCACGGAGCTCCCAAAAGCGTTGGCTAGTACAGCAGCAACACACTCCATGTCCACATCACTCCCTCATCCCCGCATCACGAATGCTCCCCCGAGACAGACATGACTGTTACACTTTAACTGCAACGGACTCCAGTTGATTATAGGCAAAGAATTAAACTTTTATTCACTTTTAGATTTATTTATTTATTTGTTTGCTGTAATTTTCATATAATAGTCAATCAAAAATTGCATATTTAAACATTTGCTATTTACGTTGTACTTTTTTCGCTAATTATATTATGTAAAACACATTCAATTTAACAAATATCCTGTTCAATTTGGTACAACTCAATCACAACACTCGACAACTTTGTGTTGGATCGAGTAGCACGCAAGCAATGAAAATGTTGGAAACAATAACATGAAATTTGGTATAATATACACATATCTTACTTCTCGCTTTGGCTGAGCCTGATTTGATGTGATCGAAAATAAAAATTACATTCGAGTATAGTCTCGAGTGAACACTCGCGTATTCAATCGAGTATTCACAAACATAAACGCAGACATGTAGGCGCCGTAGCGTCCATCGTCTAAACAAAAATTATACTATGAATAAATTTAAAAGTATACATATTACGCACACTTCAACAAATAATAATAGCGAAAAAGTCATTTTATTCGAAATTTTGTAATATTTATGCAACTGCAAACCAATATAGAACAATGCCAAATTAGGAGAATAAAAACCAAGCTACAGAAATTTGATACACTATGCATACAATCTTTTTTTTGATACTTTGACTTTGACTTTGAAAATAAAATAATTTTATACTCTTTATAACAAATAGTAATATTATATATTTTCATAAAATGCCTAGTATAAAAATTAATAAGTAAGGTATTCCATAGTAAAAGTAATAAATTTTAAAAAAGGTCTAGTTAATTAACACAAATAAAATTAATAGTATCTCATTACAGTCTTAAAAGTTTCGTAAAATAAAAACATCTGTATATGCACATTAGGTAAAAAAAAGTACAATAGTTTCTACATTTTAGAATGTTTACATTTTTTTTCTTGTGCCACACTCAGCTAAGATCAACATGCAAACATTCGAGTATAAATCAGTGGTCAAAACAAATAAGTATAAGTATAGAATAAGTATAACAAGTAAAATATACTCGTTGTTACTCGTTTGTGAACAGATTGCAAGCCAAGGCGTTCGAATGTTTCCAACGTATATGTTTGCATTCAATTGGCTACTTCACAACACCCTCGAACTCGTACCAAAGAATTTGAATCAAAGAAAATCAGAGTGTTGAGTGCAGCTCTCTTTCATATACATCATCAGAATATATACTTGGCAGGAAAAGTCTGTATACATAATACCAACCAAAATAACCCATTACAAAAGGCTTATATTATATCTATATTTTTAAAATATCGAATTTATTTTATATTAAATAAGGGATTTTAATTTGTAGATTTATGAAAATAAAATTGATAAATTTTCTAATAATAACAAGCAAACAAAACAAAACACACAAGCGACTAGAAAATTCAGAGAGTCTGGGTACAAGGTAATTGAGTCGAACAAATGCATTCTTTTTCCCAATTCCACTTAAATTTTTTTAGGAGGTCGAATATCCTTTACGTTTTAAGACTTCCGCTTGGCGTTTTGGCATATAATCAATAAGTTTTGAGGTTTCTATCGAAGAGATTGGAGCCCGTTCCTCGTGCAGTACATCCTTGAGTCCCATAAGTGCTCCATAGGTTTTAAATCTGATTACTATGTCCGCAGTAGGCTTCGCGTCGTTATCTTGTTGAAAGGAGTAGTCACTTTTTCAAATTTTTCTTGTGCCAGAACTCCCGAGGTTTATTTAAGTGCTCTTTCATGAAAGCAGTACGTTTTTACCTACTGACTCTCGATATGAGTGGCTCTTTTCGTGCGACATGGCCGTGATACCCTGCTTTTTCCAAAATTTTGCGGATAGTGTCAGCGCAGAAGGTCTTTTTGAAATTTCCTTAACATTTTGGGCGATTTCGGATGCTGAAAGTCGTAACGAGTTTCACCGAGTGTTTATATTTTTGGCCATTCTGGACGCGCGGGGAGACAAAAATGCAGGTATCTTTTTATTTTTTATCACTCTTTGGATGAAAGAGTGTGCCCTTTCAACAATCCCTCCAATTTCACAGTATTCTTTGCCTTACACTTACACTTAATAACAAGCAAAATAGATTGGAAATACTTTAAAACTACTGCTTTTACGAAAAAAGTTAAATTATAATTTTCCGACATTGTCGCACTTGGTTATAACGGGGGGA